CAGTCGAAGATTCTTTAAAAGCAAAGCGATAGTTTCATTCAAGCATAAAGACCTAGGTCGCTACGAAAGCAAAATGTTTATCTTGTGCATGGCGTTTTACTGAAGTGACACATCTTGTAAAGCAAACTGTCGAGATTTGAGCGAGCTGCCCTCTCAACGTTTCTTGACAATGCGTACACCTTTGTGTCCAAATAAAGCAGTTGTAATAATTCCTTTCTTATAAGGTTAACGTTTTGCTGCACTCCCAGCAATTCAGCTGACGGCGTTTCATAAACTGACGGGTATTAGACATGAGTGATAAGCCCACTGGCATGCAACTCTCAATGGGATACCCTGTGAGAATGTGATAACAGATACAAAAATTCCATCAGATTTGTCTGGTAAGTACCGATCTGAATTCTAACAGGCCATTCTGCGCATAGATCGTAAACATAAAAATGCGGCAATCCCCTTTATCATGAACGTTCCTGTCCACAGACGTCTTGTGAAATAACCCGTGACGCGGCCTATAGAAAATTATTTTGATCGCCAAATCGTTATGTGCTTAAAAACAGGTTGGGTATTTCAAAAATGAGAACAATGGGCGTTAAGTGATCGATAATTATTAAAAAATTAAAGATTAATACTCCGTCCCTTTGAATACTGAATATAATGTTAGCGAATGGGATGGCAAAATGTCGTCCTTCTCAAGTCTAGAAGAAACAGGTCCTCTTCTGGCCAAATTTTTAATAAATGCGGTATCACTTATCGTAATTTTGAGTTTTCCCGTTTGTTGAAATTTAAGGTAAAAATAGGCCGTTTGATAAACTTTTGATCATAGACATACCCGTACCACCGCTTTACTGAGAGTTCAGTCATTGCCAAATTCACCAGTTCATGGGAATTGTTACGAACAAAAAAATAAATACTTCCAAACCTGACAAAATGAGCTGTAAATTAAGAAACTAATATACATCTTGAATTCCGCGTTGTACTCCAAAGGTATGAAGAAATCGGCATCTCATTTTTAGTTTCACCAAAGACTGTAGGGTGAGCCTATGCGATTATTATGCTTCAGATTCTGCTGAAACCCAAAATCTGAATTCCAAAGGACAAAATAAAATGTGAACTTGCGAAGTAATTATTGATCTTTTGATTCTTGTAGCAGCGGATTTCAGATAAAACTTGCTATGAGCTTTACATCAAATCCTCAAAAAACCGCTTTTCTACATAATCCCTAGGCCTACGCCCTTCGAGAAATAATCATTTCGACCGAATGCATCGCGCGTTGAAAAAGGAGGACCTCTAGGAAACCGACAAAAATAACTTAATTATAAAAACAGGCAAAAACGCCCGGATTGCCAGCTTATGTCCAAATTGGAGTTATGGTTAAAGCACCTACCACGTGTAAACTTAACCCTTGTCCCCTTCTAAGTTCAGGACTATTCATTTGGCAACGCGATGCGGTAGTTTTCATCATAGCGTGCAATTCAAACCAAGAGGTAGCTCAAAAGGCGCCATCACCGAAACAAAGGGTTTATTAGAATGACGTTTCGGAGTCTCCCTCGAACTTATCATCGGAGAGGCACAAAAGAGGATAATAGAATCACAGTGGACTCACTATTTATCCGGCAACCACATGCCTGTAATAACTAAAAGAACTCGCATTCATCACTGAGGATCTTATCAAATGCGACGACTGCTTTTCGATCCGATTGCTTAGAGTGAATGGTTGCACGGGCAAATTCTTCAGCTAGTATACGCTCAGACGCGATGAGTGATAAAATCCAACAGACCACAAATTTTGGCGAACGGCTCCGTACGAGAAAAACGCCTCGAAAGCAGTGAATCGCCTTCTCCCGCCACTTGGATTTGGGGTTGCACGCAGACCAGAGAAAATAATCAGGCACCTGATGATTAAGCGGAAAGACCCACTGCCACGACAATGAACGTTTGGAATCATTTACCGGATCGGTACAGTCTCAAACGAAGCAATTACATCAAGGAAACCGATGGATTACTCATAAGGCGAGTGCTGAGAATGAGGTAGTAGTGAGGAGGAATAACGCTAGCTCCCAGATCAGAGTTTATATGACAGGCCTGGCCGCAGTTATTGCAAGAGATAGCAACCGCGTGAGTCGCAAACAGTTTGAGTCCCGGTTCGCCGGCCCACATTCAATTAACAGGCGCAATGACCTTCTGCCTCCATATTTTGTGCTGCGATTTTGTGTTGGCAAAATAATTAATTACACGAGGAGTCGCGGGCGACCAAATTTCCGATGAATGCCTTATATTTGTCTATTGCTTTGTCTGCCTATTAACGGCCGCTATTTCTGGAGGCAATTTCGCCAGTATACAATTATTAAGGGAGTATTTTTCACGAAACTACATATGAAAATTAGCTTTTAAACTTTTATCGGCTTAGTGGGTTTGCACAAGTAAACGCTGTGAAGTATTTTATCTAGACGGGGTTTTAAAATTTAGAAATATCACGGACACCAACATTCAAGCTAATATTCGGCTGCATATAATGGTTTAGGCCGTTTCTGAAAGCTTCACTGATTATGTAGTCCGAAACAAAATCATCCTAGAAATGAATGAATGACTGAGAATACGAATGTGAACGTGGGAATATATATTAAATCACTCCGAAATTCCTTCACGTCTCCTGTTAGAAAAATATTTTATCAGGAAACTAGAAGTGCAAGATATTTTTGGTTGATCGACGGTAACACAATCCAACCCTAACTCATCTTTTGGGGCATAAAAAGTAGCGCAATGTTATTTGTTTGTCTTAGAGGCTGTTAACTATTCCCCTTTATAAGAAGATGTTGCTGTTACCCACAGCAAAATATGTATGAGTCTGTCGGCTCCTGCATTTGCCATACAGACCTAAACAGTTGATGTAAAATGATGGCGTCAGATCGCATATCCACCCAGTTTCTTACTCTGAGTGTAGTACTAACATTTGACATTTTTTCAGAAATTTTGTCATAAGGTCCCACTGTTGATTAATTTAAAATTTACCGCAATCCCAGAGATTGTTAGATTTTTCGCTGCTGTATGAATGTAAGAAAATTAGTCCAGCGTAGGAATACTGCGGGCAAATTGGCCTCACCTTGATGAACAGCTTCGTTTATTTGAAGCGCATATTGGTTGCACCTGTTTTTAGGCAAAGTTTACATGAACTGATGAAATATGTCGTAATTAAGCGAACGCACTGTAGGAAGTTTTGATACACGCTTTTATATAACTGCCATCGGTATTCATATAACTCATCCAAGATTGGGTGTGTAAAATAAATACTTCCCTATTCGTATCATGTGGAAAGTAAGCAGATATTTCCACCACGAACTTTCCACTGCAAAAGTTCGCACATGACAACGTGGAACGTGTTTATTAGAAAAATCATAAAAAGCCAGACTTTCCAGTATATTCTTTCGAAGGGAACCGATAAGAGACTTTGTCTCTACTTTACTTTGAAGTTTTTAACAGTTTGCACTTCTTGAGCCTTCCGTTGAAAAAATGAGAGCGTGAAAATGACAGGGAGCGTTGGGCCTTCCGATAATAATCAGTCGCGCACTTAGATGTCGAAATGCATTTTCTGTGTGGGACGTTTGCTACGAAGACGGTCGGCAATTTTCAAACAAGATTTTTGTGAAAGCATAATAATTACATTTGAAGACTAACCTTGATTTTTCTACGGTTTTGAAATGTAACCTAGATACACGCCAAAGGTAAGACAGTGCCATAACAAAAGCCAACAAACTTAAAAGTCAATAGATTTTGCGTTTCGTCATGCTACAGCAACATGAATTAGCCGTGAATGAACGGACTGCTGAGTATGTAGTTAACGCAGGAAGCCCGATTCCTTAGAACTTGCTGCACATCGGATACAACTCCCTAAAATCACTGTTGCAAAATTATATCGTTGGGAGAAAATAGGAATATAATTTTCCCTACAGGTTTCCTCATCAGGCAGCACCATAGTTAGGTCGACATCTTTCGAGCAAAATTCATCAAAACTATAGCTAGTTCTGAAACCTTATCTGCAAATGTCTGTCTTTGTTTCTAATGAAAATGGTTCGTTCACTGCAATGAACATTGAAGATTCTCTTTGCGGCTAAAGATAATGTGATTGAAACCCAAAATCTGAGTAGATAATTTAAAACTGAAACTCATAACTTAACTATGTTTTGTATTTTAGAAAAGCTGAAAATTATTCATATATAAGGAAATATAAGAAAACTTGATTGCACATATTTCGCGGACTTTACCCCAGGCTAGCTGAAAGACTGAGCTTTGAATGCACTACAGTTGGAGTTTAAAAAGGCTTCTTCGCAAGTCCTAGGCTGCAGCTCTACGCAAAGCCACTATTAAAAAATCCACGGAGCTTTTGAAGCTTAGTACATAAGCTCACGTTATTGCATCTACTTTTTCCGCCCATACTACCAATTGCGAAAGTTATGCTATTGTTTGACTCGTGGGAATTGAATGATAGCTGGGAAAAAATCTGGCAAACGAAGAGAACGCTTGTCGAACATTATGTTTGGCAGCCGCTTGGGGCACTCTTACGTTCAAAACGCATTTTACGCGTTAGTCCATGTTTGATTTTGGAGCTCAACCTCCCATGAACAATAATGCACTGTTAAGTACCTACATTGCGATCTTGAAGTATATCAGTGTTTACGTTGTCAGCATTCAAAAAAGCCAAAGCGTTATGATATTTTCTGGCTCCTAAGGTACATTTAACCTGTCATATGCTCACAATTACAGTTGAATTATTTTAAAATGGATCAGTTATAATACAACACTTACTTTTTGAAAGGCAACTCAATGCCTGACGAATGGAAGCGAATGTTTGAGTTCCTAATGTTTGCTTGAATAATGAAGAAGAAGTTGGCTGATCACCGAAGCAATTTAGTTACAATTCCGAGCTTTTGAATTCGTAAACGAGTCCATCATCAATGAAAGTAATAGCAGCAAAACAAGCCACGGTTATAGAGTGTACAAACTAGTAGATGGTCAATGACGCCAGTCTGGCGGTGACTGCTCCGGACCTTGTATGTCGAGGTCAGATCAAGACAACGGTCGACTGAGTTACCATTCGAAGACTAGACTGAAGTCATTTCCTAACTTGACTGGCTTTTGTCGTGGACTATTATCTTGACGGCTCTGGAAGTAAACTTGTAGTCCGCTTCGTAAATATGGGCGATCATTTGCAAAAATTCGTCTTTCCATCGTACAGCCAGTTAACAGTAGGTGAGTCGACCCATGAAATCTCGACAGAAATTCCAAAATTCATTTTCTTTTCGAACAGATTAATTAAGTAGGGCTGAATTCAAAGTCTATTTCGTAAATGTGGCGATCGTTTCCGATAATCGGTCTTTCTATCGTACAACCAGCTTCTGTTCATGTACGCGCAAACTAAGCCTGCGTTCAGTCTGATCTGTGTAGCAACAAGGACAGTTTAGGCACGGAATGCAATGCACTATCCCAGGCTGCTTCTAGGGATTTGGTCGGTCTTTGACTTTCATGATCTTGTTGCGCATGGTTGATTTCGGTCGGCGTGTAATTCCAAAATTCAGATCGCAGCAATGCGCTCGGTCGCCCATAATGCATGACCGGGCGAATCATATCCTTGGTGGTGCTTCTGTCTGAGTCCTCCATGGCCAAACACGTAGGTATCGGATTATAAACGTCCTCGGATAGCCATTCCGCACGAAATGGCCGTGGCGATATAGGGCTTTGCGTACATTTTCCGCCGGTTTGCCGCAATCAGTCTGGATCTGTTTAAAGGGCGTTGCCACATAGCTTTGTTTATGAGCCACTAGATGGTTGTTTAGAAAGCTGAGAAGTTTTGTGGCGTTTTTAGCCGCCCTGCAGACCGCCTTCTAAGCTTTGCCGTTAGGTCTTCGCCTAACGAAATCGTGCAACATGTTTTTTGCCCATGCCTTGGATTGTATTTCACTCGATCGATATATCGATCTGAAGTCGACATACAAGGTCCTGAGCAGTCACCTCCAGACTTGCCTCATTGGTCAACTACTAGTTTGTTGCTGTTACTTTCCCTGATGATGGACTCCTGGACGAGTTAAAAAGCCCAGAATAATAAACAAATTCTTCCGGTGCCCAATTAGTCTTTTTCGTGTTTACTCAGTGAAAGTTTCATTAAGAATATTAACTTGGGAATTATCCCTCGCGAAGTGCATAAACCTACCAATCTGCCTGAACACTATGATAGTAAAAATTTTACGAGATCACCTAGACCAGGTAACAAGCCCTCACCACGACAGTGTATTTATGTGGTAACTGAGTGCGGAGAGGTTCGGGACAGGCCGTGTCAGAGGTCAGGGTAAGAAGGCAAGACGAATTGCATACGGTCAGTAAATGAATTGATCTTTGGCGGTGATAAATGCGGGGTCTGTGCGAGGTTTTTATGTGCTCATAAAACCTGCTTGCGTTGCATGTTTACGACCCAACATTCCATATATGTGCACAGGCGAACATTGCTCATTCCTCTTCGTACCCGTGTGTTTCTAAATGACTTGGTTCGAATTTGTTGAAAGTAAACATCTATCCGTCAAATGTTGTTCCGAAGTTGCAAATAGGCAATCTGAACAACTGTAAAATGAATAAGTTTTCGGTATCTAATCAGCGACAAAGGTTACAGATACTGGAGTGGCCATTTCTGACATATTAGTCGTCGTCAGCCAGTCATACCCAATCCCGAGGTGCGGAACATCTGGAGCGCGAACGCGCGACCTGTTAGTTAGAAGTCCAACGCCTCGAACCACTGAGCCACGGGCTCGTTGTCCTGTTGGTTTCGATCGGGAATATACAATGTTGAAGGGGCGCTCACCTTACGGGCTCTCTATCGAGCCCAACCAGCAGCAACACAGCGGAACATGATATAGGCCGAATGTTATCACTGCCAAAGACAAGGATGACTGGATGACTGATGGCTATTCCAGTTTCCCTTGTCTTTGTCGGTAATAACATACTGCCTATATCATGCGCCACTGTGCGGCTGGTAGTCGAGCTCGAGAGAAAGAGCCCGTAAGGCACAACGGGACGAGTGGGTTCCGGAAAGACGATCGGTGAGCGCCCCTCCACCAAGGTTTTTGGTCTATTTGCAAGACTTACTTAACCGTCAAATCGCAGTTTTTCTGCTTTTCCCCTGGAGTTTAAATCTGCCAGAGAAAGATAAGGTTGTGATATGGCTGACGCTCAAAATATCTGAAATCTGCGGCCCCTATCATTAGGGCCTTCTTATCTTTGGTCAAACTGTTCGTTAGATATGTGGTATCATATGAAATTAATCCATTCATGCACGAAACGTTGACTGCTCAAGCAACTTCTTATTGCTCGTCACGGCGCCCGAGTGTACCTTATATCTCAGGTAGTAAGAGCGATGACTGTATTCGAACCTTGACGTTGTTGTCGTAGGTTCTAATCCTACCGAAGAAACCGAGTTTTTTACAACTAGGTCATATGAGTGAATAAAGGATACATTAGGTTTCCTTTAGGCAATTTGAATTAACGAATGCTTTGGCAGATATGAATGAGCTGATCGATAAATATACTGAAAGAAAGAGACTTGATTACTGCAACAGGGATTTCATGCAAACATTTTCTTATTTAATTCTGTCTTTGATGACGGATTCGAACGCGATCCCGGAAGACACCAGGTGAATAAAAGTGTGTTCTAGAGATCGTGTCTACGCCTTTGCGACTGCTTCTAGAACCCGTTTTTGCCCTGCTCGACAATTAACTGTAGAAAAAATGCGTCCAAGAAATTCAATTTCAATTAATGGAGTTTTAAGTTCTAGTTTAAGCCGATTCATTGATACGCAGTAACAGCTTAATGACGCTTTATCACAATAACTAAACAAATTTCATAGATATATTTTAGACACTGGGACTCGAAGTTATGGTTTTATCGGAAACCTTCAATGCTTTTTATGTTTGCTCACATTTAGTGTAATTGTCCTTGCAAATTAAAAGTGAACAAGAGGAAGATAGATACAATGAACAGCAAGTAGTCTTCGTAGACGATGCTATGAAAACGTTTCTGCTAGTGAAAACATATGGATGGTCATTGAAGCATATGAATAAGGAATCACTTAGCCGGGCATGTTTTCCGGCAAGCAATTTGGTCGAAGATAGCACAAAGTTCCTTTTCAGGAGGAGTCTTCGGCCTCGGAGAGCCTCCTGAAAATTTGCAAAATTTTGGTAAGTTAAACTGAACAATTGATTGATACTACATGCAATGCTTAATCTGCGACATTCTGATTTTAAACTAGCTTTACCGGCCACTTGCAGTAAAATAGCTTTTGTGATTATCTTCCAGCATACCGAGAACAATGCATCTGACCATATTTGCGGGCTGTATGACTCATTTTTTCAGTCAGTAATGTTAGTCATTGTTTGTAGTTGCATTTTAATAAAGAAAATCCTCAGGGGAGATATATTGTTGGTGTAAAATCACAAAGATATAAAGTCCGTTAAGAGTGTAATTCGCTGAGGTTCGGACTAAGTCGTCAAATGGAACAGAGTTTAAAAGACCGAGGAATGTTCTTAGAGGCATAGAGCACTCAAAAGTATGTACACTGCTTAAGTCTACTTCCAAACAAGACGTGCAGCAATTCAACTCTTTATGGTCACGCATGGTCAGTTTTCCATTGCATACCTACGACGGAACTGTGCATGGGAATATGAAAAAGTGTTGAATAGATATGTAAGCACATAAGTAAATATAATGTTCCAAAAGTAATACGCCATACAGATGTAATTTTCCAATACACGACCAAATGAAAGAAATTACGTAAGGCTTCAGCGTTGACCGGCATGGACAGCAATTGCACGTTACTTTCCAGATGACAGCATTTCAACACTTTATCAAGGGTCCTGCCGGCAATCTGCAAGAATGGCGATCGAGAGAAATTCCCAGGGTTACTGTTTAATCGTTTTTTGCGTCTCTGGCAATCCAATCATACTCTTATGTAAGCACACAGAATCAATGCGCTTACTGACCTCTTTTCTGACGACCGTATGGTTTCATCAAACTGTGCAGCTGAAATGACAATCCTTCGATTTCGAAAAAATTGGCAGTTCTAAATATCTTACGTTTTACTTAAAACTAAAAGTGCATGTCGTAGAAATCTTTCTAAAGCAAATTTATTTCCAAACAACTGGAAGGTGGCATGTTTATGATCAAAGCAATCGTTATTGTAAACAGTGTTACAAACTGCCAATAGAATCGAAAACACGAGTCCCAGGAAGCAGTCTTGAAGAAGAAGACACGATCGCCGGGACAAGAGCTTTATTAGCCTGACGTTTCGGATTCCTGCTCGAATCCATCATCAGAGACATAAGCAGATAAGGGTGGTTCTTGCACCTGTGGCTGCAGTATTTATAGGATGCCGTAGCCTTGCCACCGCATACCTATGAATGTTCACGGCTCCCTCCCCTTCATCAGGGATCGTTGCACGTGGCGTGATGGTCGATATTCGCGTCGTTAATTGCTGCAATTTCATCACGTGCGTTGGATACGGCTTTGGCCCGATTCTATGGCCTCCCTAAGGTGCACAAAGACGGCGCTCCTCTCCGACCTATCGTGTCTCTCAAAGGTACTCCAACGTAAGGACTGGCTAAGTGGCTGTTCCGGCGTCCCAAGTTCCTGACCGCTGAGTCAGACACCACGGTCTCTTCGTCAGCAGAATTCCTGGAGAAACTCAAAGGGGTAAGCCTCCATCCAAATGAGGTCATGGTATCTTTTGATGTTACATCCCTTTTCACTTCTATTCCCCAGGACCTGGCGATCGAGACAATCGAACTGCTTCTGCAAAGCAAATACGATGAAACGGAGAATCATCTTGGACGCGCCCAAGTCCTTCAGCTCCTGAAGTTCTGTCTCAGGACGTACTTCACGTTCGACGGGACAATCTACGAACAGGTGAAGGGCACACCAATGGGTTCGCCGATTTCGGGATTCATCGCCGAGGCGGTCCTGCAACGGTTAGAGTCGCTGGTCTTCCAACACCACAAACCGACGTTCTGGGCCCGGTATGTGGATGATACCTTCGTCGTTATCGATCGGGATCAACTGCTGACATTCAAGGAACGTCTGAATGCGGTCTTCCCGGACATACAATTTACGATGGAGGAGGAAGAGAACAACCAGCTGGCCTTCCTGGATATCCTCGTATGCCGCAAGGATTGTGGTGGACTAAAGACCAAAGTGTTCAGGAAAGCGACAAATACGATGCAAGTACTGAAGTTCAACAGTAACCGCCCAATCAGCCACAAACGCAGTTGTGTAAGGACGCTCTTTCGGCGTGTCGAAACGCACTGCAGTGAGCCGGAAGACAAGCTTGCTGAACTACAATACCTCCGACGGGTATTCAAAGCCAATGGCTACCCGAGCAACTTTGTCAACCGGTGCATACGCAAAATGGACGAAAGGCCTAACCGCAGGGACACCAAAGTTTGGCGAGCGCCATCGTATGCTAAGAAAGTTTCGGAAGCTGTTGGCCGCCTTCTCGCACCGCTGGGGGTTGGAGTTGCACACAGGCCAGAGGCAACCATCAGGCGTCAACTGATGAAACCAAAAGACCCACTGCCACGGCAAGAAACGTCTGGAGTCGTTTATCGGATCTGGTGCAGTTGCGGACAAAGCAACTACGTCGGAGAAACCGGAAGACAACTCCGAACGCGAATGGTCGAACACGCTGCAGCAGTGCGGAGAAAGGACGCCAGCTCTCAAGTTGCGGCTCATTCGACGGGTTCCGGCCACACATTCAAATTTGACGAGGCCGAAATTCTCGCAAGAGGTGACAACCGCGTGAGCCGGGAGCTGCTTGAGTCATGGTTCACTGGCCCCCAGTCTATTAACAAGTGCAATGATCTTCCCATTCAATACAGCGTGCTGAGACTTCGTCTAGGCGGAGAAATTGGCCACGCGGGGAGCGCCCTGATGAACACTCTTCCCAACACCCGGGTCAGCGCGTCAGATGGTCGAGCAATCATCACACCAACATCCAACGCACGTGATGAAATTGCAGCAATTAACGACGCGAATATCGACCATCACGCCGCGTGCAACGATCCCTGATGAAGGGGAGGGAGCCGTGAATATTCATAGGTATGCGGTGACATGGCTACGGCATCCTATAAATACTGCAGCCACAGGTGCATGAACCACCCTTATCTGCTTATGTCTCTGATGATGGATTCGAGCAGGAATCCGAAACGTCAGGCTAATAAAGCTCTTGTCCCGGCGATCGTGTCTTCTTCTTCTTCAACTGTTACAAACTGTTCGAGGTAAAATTCACGAACGTGCGAACGGTCATGTGAACAACGCAAAATGTAATAGTTCCATTGCGAATTTCTAAGACGACTGAAAATGGCTCAATCAAAAACACCTGCAGTCGCGTGAAAATGAACTTGGGTTTGAATTTCCTGCAGTGAAGCCTTGAATAGAGTTGAATGAGTCTTTTCTACTTAGGGATACTTCTATAGATGCATGTAAGACCCCATGAAATTTTAATTTGTTCTTTAAAGTTTGCAAACTCGACTAGAAAAATCTCGGTTTAGGCCGGAATGCCACAGATTTTACGTGGCCTACAATCTTGACTCGTATGCATAAAATTTTTAAACTCGAACTCGCAGGAAACATCAAAATGCGCTTGTTTTGTCCGAAATTTCTAACTATAACTGTGGCCACTCGCAATCAGATACAGGCAGACCCGAGGCTCAGTCAAATCAGTTGTTTCACTCATCGCATAGCCTCGCTATAAAGGAGGAAGAGTAAGCGCGGTTCCATTCTTTGATATCTTTGTTACAGCTAACTCAGTGGTCAACTAGCCAAAACGCCGTAAAGATAACCGATAAGCAAACTGCATGTGATGCGCGCGAAGTTGTGCATGGATGTTTTGCCGGCGAATGCTCATCAACTGTTGCAGACTAGGTAGTAAATAGCCAAACAGACCAAACTCGTTAACCTGCTCATGGTCAATGAAAGACTGGCTGAGAACAGCCTGTGACAACAGACAAGCAGGATTAAGAAGGCGAGCCAGTTATTACTATGGAGAAGAATTACGTATATGAAAAAGTATCACAAGCCATTTTGGGCTTCATAAAACTGCTTGGTTTGGAATCTAGAGTAGAGTCGACTCAGTTTCCTGACGCCTACTCATATATGTGGAGACCCAATACTCAACGCGTGGTCGTATGCCATTTACTAGCTACTGCTTGATGTTGGATAATTCTATTGTTTTAGAGAAACCAGTCAAACAATAAACACGGAGATGGACAAAAATAACAATAATTGTGCGCGGGCCAAGCCAGAACGCGCACATAGCAGTACATTCTCCGAAATATTTTGAAGAAACCGACCTCCATGTAGGAAAGAGAACAGCCTGAATTGACAGCCACGCAGTAACGCAGGTGCCTGCGGTGCGGCCCTAAGATGTCTACTCGAGTAGCTTGCACGAACGAATTCTTACCTTTCAAGAGTATCTCGAAGATAATAAATATCAAAAGAATTTGCGTGAAACGTCATTTTGGACAGTCGAATCCTGCGTCTAGAAAGGCAGCTGTAAAACACAAGTCGGTTAAAGGTCTTAAGCGATGTTTAAACCCTGAATTAGACGAATGCGAGAAGGAGATTTTGACTAATAACGATAATTCCTTTTTTCCCTTACAACTTACTGTGTGTGGAAATTCTCAATCTGAAGTAATCCAGGACTCCGCATGTTTTTCGACAAGTAGGAAACAAAACGACTTCCCAAGATAGCCGCACTTTAGTCACGCCACAGCGGAATAATAACTATAGGCGTTCCCATTTCGAAGCCGGCCACCATAGCCCAGATAAAGTGCATTAAGTAAAATTTGGTTGTGACTGTATATAATACATGCTAAAGCATGCAGTAAAGTAAGTGTGATATTAAGTACGACCTGTCTCTTCGGCCCATTTTTAGCATAATCCGCTCAAAATACAGACAGGTAACTGGCGATTCCTAACAGATTTTGGTAAACCGCTTACGAATTGGATTCGTCTTTCTTAATGCACTGACCTTCAAATCTGAGATTTATTCTCGAACTAGCTTGTGCTCTATCTCAGGTACACGTAGCTTCCTGAAGACACAAATAATATTGCCATGGAACAAAAACACTAGGGCGTACTTGAAGAATAATC